CATGGACAGTTCAGATTTCTACATCCTAATTAGGTGAAAAATTATTCAACTATTAACTTTCTTCTTAATTTATCCCCTATCAGGAATAACAGACCTACTGTTTTCACTTTCTACCTGTGCCACATTTATCTTAAGTCTAACATTTCTGGATCTTTTAACCATTAGAGATCAACCATCAAATTACTTCAACAAGTAGAAATAGCAACACTGCTCCCAAACAGCAATTTCTGCATTGCTAGACACTTATCTAGTTGGTAGATTTATACCATTGTTCATTCTTAGTTCCGTAAATGTAAAAAAACATCCACAGAATGGTAGCATACCTCTAAATTGGTTTAAATATGGTACAAAGTTATTTTTGGTTAGGTTCAAGTTTTAAAAAGGCACTAATCATTCTTCTGAAAGGCTAATCTACTCAAGTTCCTCCCATATTAAGAAAATAAAAAGCTTCATTTGTCTCTTTTGGAATGGAGAAATGTTATTTATGTAATGCTCAACTGAAAGGATGTTAGAATAATAGAACAGACCTGACATCAAATCAGGGTCAGGGTCATATCTATTGTTAATAAAAATAAGTTTGACATTTATCGTAATGATGGTCCTTTCAAACACTACCATGGCTAAATGTCATTCATGTATGTGTACTTTCAAATGTACTTCTTTCGTTTTTTTAAATACTCTACTTCTATGCAAGGTAAAAAGGAAGAAAACCACCATATACAATTATAAACTGGTTCTTATTCCAGAAAAAAAAGAGCTAAGAAACATTCATGCCATATTTATTTGAGATCTAGTATTTATTTGACTCCCTCCTTGCATGCTAGAAAGATGCAAAGACAAACACTTCCAACTATTCAGACAGATCATTCCACAGTTGTAACTTTCATCATAGTTCTCAAAGCAGTATGGTGAGGTCAGCTCACAAACAGCTTAAGGAGTAAAACTAGAAATTGGTGGTAGTAGTATCAGGCTACATAACAGCCTCTCCAAAGAATATGAAGTAACAGAACTAAAATGTGCTGGCCACATGCCAAGAGACTGGATGGAATATAGCTTTGGGCAACAACTACTCAGAGCTTACAGTATATAGCAATTCATCATTTTTCACGCTGCAGCTTCATTTTCCTTGTTTTAAGCCCAAAGTAGCCATATTTAAGAGGTATTTAACACTACCAAATTCTCCATGTTTGTGAACTGAAATGCATCTGGGCTTGCAATGACCTGGTACACTAAATACATAGCCTAAAAAAAAAATCTGACTTTCATGCTATGTGACCATGAGGAAGGTGAAATAGATACAATTATATTGATAATACTCCACACAGAATAGCCTTTTTCTCCAAGGGTTATACTGTCCTCAGCTTAATTTTGAAACCTGGAATATCTCTGCAACCAGCTGGTATTTAGAATTTGTCAATCTTCTCAACAAATTTAATAAAGAATTAATTTTGTCAGATCAAATGACATAATTCTGGTCAGAAACAATTCCTTAAACTTTTTCAAAATATGTTACTTTTATAATTTCATCTTTATTGAATCATATTAAAACAGAATAATAAACTAATTCTTAAGTCTCTGACACTTTCTAAACATATTTTTTTCTAAAGAACCAAAAGAAAATGCAGTTATTTTAGGCAAGAGAATCATTATTTAATTCAAATCAACACACATTTAACATCTATTATGTGCCAGACATTATTACTGAGAACTGAAAAAGCAGAGATAAATATGTACATATACTGGTCTCCCAGAATTGCTACTCTCCCAGAATTGCCACTCTAGCAAAAGGGCACTCTAGCTGGGGAGATTGACCTGCTTAAAAATCAATCGGTCAGCCAATTTCTCTCTGTCTCTCCCTCTCTCCCTGTCTCTCTCTCTCTCTCTCTCTCTCTCTCTCTCTCTGTGTGTGTGTGTGTGTGTGTGTGTGTGTGTGTGTGTGTGTGTGTTCTTCTAGCTACAGGAACAAAAGTCCTGGTACCACCCCAGAAATGTGACTAGATCTGCTAGGGAGGAAAAATCTTTAGAAAGTAAGAGCTATTTAAGAGCATATTTCCTTTCTTGAAAGATGAGAATTTCACAAGGGAAAATTGAAGATCGCAGGCCACAAAGGACAGAATGAGCAAAAAGCATGAAAGAACAAAACACAGCACATGTGAGGAAGCCCACGTGGCAAGGGTGTCGACAGCAATCTCTGGCATGTCTGTTACTTCATGACAGACACCACTAATCAATTAAAGCATATTTAAAGTCCACATAAGACTCAAACTCCTTCCCAACAGATAACCCAAAACCAATGGTAGGAAGTAAGTCCATGAGATGTCCTGAGTCTGGGAACAGAAAGTGGTAGACGTTAAGAACTAAGGACAGATTATGAATAACCATGAAAGCTAGGCTAATCAGTTTAAATTTTATCTGTGGACAACAAAGGATGAACAAAGGATTTTATTAAAAAGTCTGGGGTGATTAACTCTGGCAGACATACGAAGAATGCATCTGGACAGAGAGGATAAAGGCAGGAAGAACAGTTAACATGCTATTGCAACTCCTGCAATAGTCGAGGCAAGACATAATAATGAAGCCTGAATTGCAGTGATGGCAAAAATCTGCTGCAGGTTCTAAAACAAAAATGGAGTGTTTTGAATTATATAATTCATGGTTTTAAAACATCAATTTGAGAAAAATTAGCATTCTAATTAGAATTCCCAAATAATACTGAAAAAGGAAAAGATATGACAACGTAAAGATTGAATTTAAGACATGAATCACAATGATACTCGAGATTACCCAAGACTACAAATTCAGAAATAGATATTTCAGGTTTAGCACCAAGAAAGAGAACATCCTCATGACCAGACTAATACTCAGCAAGTCTTTTCTTCCTGAGGGCACTAATACTCTAGCCAGGCAACAAACACTATTCACCTTACATGCCCCTACAATGCAGGGTCAAGTACACACTCCCACTGAGATGCAGAAAGCACAAAAGTCAAATTTCAAACCAAAGTTTGAACCCATATTGGAGTTCCACTTTACCCAAACATTTTAAGCTGTACATTAAAAAAACACATAAATATGAAGTAAATCTTCCAGGAAGTACTACTGTTCTACCATTAACTAATTCATATTCCAGCCTTTAAAGTCTAAAACTCTGTGTGGAATGCAACCTTCTGTAGCACTTTCATCTGTATGTAATAAAAGCAGCACTCCTATCACTTCTGCAGAATGTTTTAAAAAATGAAATTATTCTAATTAAAAATAAAAACTTCATTGTAGCTCAAAAGGCCAAAGATAGTCAAAGAGTTTTTCTATTTTGGAAAAAGATTCTTTAGCTGTTGCAAACAGGCTAATGTAGTAATGTGAAATCCAAGTACAACATGTTAACAAGCATGCTAGAAAAGCTAGCATTACTGTTTTAAGACCTAAGGATATTCACATTAAGGATAAAATTACCCTATCATGAATGCCAACAATGTACTTCACAACTACATGGACACATATTCAAGAGTTCTACTTTGTTTACCCCAATGACAATATTTTGTATCCCACTAACAAAAAACTCTCAAATTGGGATTCTCTTCCTCTTAAGACAAGCTAAACTGAAAACCATGAACTCTGGAGACAAAATTTATTTGTGATATATTGTTTATCCTGCAAAAGCAAATCTGATTAACAGTTTATCCTAATCTATCTCTTTTTCAGAAAGATGTGGATTAAGCTAGTCAGGGGCAGGGTCAACTTCTCATGATGTCATTCCAAAGCCATTACTAAATGTTACACATGTTATACTTTCTTCAAAGCAATCACAAAACAAGTCATCCCAAACCCGAGGTCAAATTCCATTCCAACTAAAAGTTCTCCAAACTTGAAGTAATGGTCCACTAAGTAAGTCACAGAAGAACCCTCCTCCTGTACCCCCATCCCCCCAAATCAGTCTTCTTTTAGCTCGCTGTAATGAAATGTGTGACCTGTAGTTAAGGGCTTTTCCATTCCTTCCTTACTGCTCAGAAAACACTTAGCAGATTTTTCTCTTTCATAAAAGTTAATATATGTTTTAAAAGAAAAAAGTGAAGTGTTATTATATGTTAATCACATAATAACAATTAGAACTAATAAAAGGTAAATTGGTTTACTAGATCTCTCATTATGACAGAACAAGTGTATTTAAATGACAACTGAGTATTTTTATTTCAGGGTACTAGTCAGACATCTAAAAGATTTATGACTGCATGACTCCTAATAAATTAGGTAGGGAAGGGTAGGTTAAAACCACAACTACTTAAATAAATCTTCGCACACAAAATTACTATGAACAATCTTTTCACAACAAATCATATTTTTATCATTAAAGTTACACACTTTTAAGTATCTAATTGTAGAGAGAAGAGGGAAATATTTGAAAAACGTACCTCAAAGTCTAAAATTCAACATATCTAGCAGCTCTCCCTGCTGGGAGCAAGCCCATACTTTCCTCTTCCCTCTGATCTCCTCCCCCAGGGGCTCTACTTTACCCTTCTCTCTCCTAAGCTCCACGGGCCCTTTTTTTGGCCTCTATATCTTATTTCCTGAGCCTATTTATTTGATTTTAGAGAGAGGAAGGGAGAAAGAAACATCGATTAGTTGTTCCACCTTTTTATGCATGAACTGCTTGATTCTTTATGTGATCTGACCAAGGATCGAACCTACGACCTGGGCATATCAACTCGATATTCTGACCAACTGAGCTACCCAGCCAGGTAGGTCTCTGAGCCCATTTCTTCAACAACTCATTTCTTCTACCTCTATGACTTTCTAAGTAAACTTTCCCTTACAGTTCAAAAAAATAATTTAAGTTAAACACATCTATCTGGGACTTACTTTCTCATTCTTAAAATAAGAAGGTATTTGACTAGATGATCTTTAAAGACACTTTGATACCCAAATTTTAAAATGAACAAATTCAATGATTTAATTCAGACAAAACATTTCCCAAGATAAACCCCTTAAAAATATTTTTTACTTACATTCTTCCTACACCTTCATACATGTTAGTCTCGTCCACCAAAGTCATGATCTCTGTATCTGTAAGATGGGCATGCTTTTTCGTTCTGTTTAGCTGTTCAATCTGTATGTCTGCAAGCTTCACCTTTTGTTGTGTGTCAATAACTTTGGCTTGAAGCTCTGTGAAGGCCTAATAGAAGCAAGTCCTTAATTTAGTAGGTGAAATATTTTACGGGAAACATTTAAGTCAAATCTAGATATATTTAAACAAAGCACGCTAACCAGAGACAAAGCTGTGAAATTTACTAAAGTGAACATCAATAAAAATTAGTATAATTGTAATTGATCAAGCCACTAGGCTAAACACTGAATTTACCCTGTCCTCAGAAGATGGAATCTATCTGAAGCAAAAACAAACACACATTAAATAATAGCCATATCAAGCAGCAGGTACCCAAGGAGTAATAAAAGTAATAAACGCAGCAGTCAGAGGATGAGACAGAGCTCAAAACAAGAATCAGAAATGGAGCTCTCTACGTGTGTATCATTCAACTAGGTTTCCAAGCGCTTTCCCACATTTGTTACACACATTAATATAGGAATATCAATATGAGAGTACTGAGGGATGTAATAAATATCACTGCTCTCAAATCCTATGAGTTAGGGTGGCAGTTTCATAGTAAGTTTAGAAATTGAGTGACTAGGTGTGTTAAATGTAAGTGGCTTGCACAGGTAGAAAGGCAGGTACTTATATCCACTTCTTCTGAAACCCTAGTTCAAGAATCTTTCTAGTCTGCTGTCTACAGTAATATCCAGAATATAAATATTTTTAGGAGAAAGACCCCCCAAAAAAGAAAATTTCATAAGCACTGGTAGAAGAATTACATTATAATCTTCTATGCACATATCACACCAAATTTGACTGCTGAGTATACTTAACTTAAAGATAAGCAGTTTTTGGATACTCTTGTTGAAATGTCTTGAATGACTTCCACATGCTGTCAAATTTATGCCTCAATAACGTTTATGACTGCAATAATACTTACCTTCTATTCGGACTTCATTCTCACCTATGAGTAAGGTTTCAAAAAATTTATTTTGGGAGGAAGGGAGGAGCCTGAAATTTTCAATTTGTCTCCAGGTAATAAACAAATTAACTAGGAGATAAAAATCTTTAAACGATTTTTCTTTAGTTCATTTAATTGGTTGTCAGAGCTATCCAATTTAAGGCTGAAATAATTTCTTAGTTTGCACTCATTTTCCACAGGTTTCTTAGCAACAAATTCAAATAGGGGGAGGTAAGTCCATTCATAGATGTACTCTACTGTTAGCTCTTTCACTAAACCCTAACTTAAATTTGAACTTTTAACAAGACAAAAAAAAAGCTAAACCTTTAGCCCTGGCTGGTGTGACTCAGCCTTCGAACCAAAGGATCACTGGTTCCATTTCCAGTCAGGGCACATGCCTGGGTTATGGGCCAGGTCCCAGTAGGGGGTGTGTATGAGAGGCAACCACACATTGATGCTTCCCTCCCTCTCTTTCTGCCTCACTACCTCTCTGTTGAAAAATAAATAAAATATTTTTTTAAAAGCTAAGCTTTTAGAATACTTTAAGAATTCTTAAAATGAATTTTGTTTTGTTCAGTACCCATTTTATTAAGGAAGCTAGTGTAATTGTAAAAGCTGAGATACTACAGCATGAGAGAAGACCGGGTAAGGGCCAAATTTACAAGGTGCAAAACAAGAATGACAAAAAGTAAGATACATAAAAATCCTCACAGCGGTAACAGCTTCATTTATTAAGATGAACAGCTATTTCAGCTGTCCCATTTCTTTCGTACAGATTGACTGGAAGGTGGTCTTAAATAAAACCTGCTCTTCTGAAGAACCTAAACTACTAATGGCTGTAACCTTTGACTCCTTCCTGGAACTCAGTTTCCTTTTCCAGAAAAGTATGGATGTGAAGTAGATGAAGGCCAATTCCTACCCCTAACTCCACCCCCTCGCCCAAAAATATGGGTTGGTGTCGGTAGTGGTGTTAGAATCCCGACAACTCTGTGGTGGTGAAAACGTTTCTGAGTAACAATACATTTATAAACAATTGAAGAGAGAAACCTAATTTCTTCTGACATCAATTTTATTTGCAAAACGTTAGGGACTTGTTTCTTTCCTCGCCAAGTCCTCCAAAAAACGGTGGGGGATAGGCAGCCAAAGTCCCGAGATGAGGACCGCTATGGGTTTATCAGGCTCTGAACTGTAGTGCGACCTTTCGAGATTTGGGAAAAATAAGTGGCTTAAAAGCACAGGTTGGACTTGCACTTCTTCAAAGCAAATAAGGACGCAGTATTACAGATGCCTCAGCTCGGGCAAGCCGTCCTAAGGAGGACACTCACTTCAGGCCTTACTATGAAACTGAAGGCTCCAAGCGCAACAAAACGGCTCTGGAGCTCGAGACAAGGGGACAGACAGGTCAGCTGTCGGCCCACCAGCCTTAACCAAATCCACACCAACCAGCTCTTCTCCAGCAAAAACCTCTTGCCTCCCACTCTAACCTGAGAAGATCCAGTCCCGCCTTACGACTCTAGGAAATCATCCCCCGGTTCCCTGAAACCGCTTTCCTCCCGCAAGACTCCAGCCTCCTTCACAACCTCGTCCACAGTCCCCTTAGCTACCCAAGAAAAACCTCCTGCTAGGCTCAAAACCCTCTTTTACCTTTTTCAACTCCAGATCCACGGGCGCCGCCATGTTGGCTCACTCTCTGAGCCTGCGCGCTGGACCAAAGCCGGAAAGAGTGTGGGGGAAGGGCGCGCCTTGGAAGTTTGAGTGTGCCCTCCTTCATTCTGCGCCTGTGCGTGAGTGGCTAGTCAGGCTTCTTTCCTTCTCCTGAGCTAGTAACTTTTAAAAATATATTTTTAATTTAATCTTTAGTATATTTTTCATTACCGTTAGTGCACTTATACTTCCCTTCCCCCAGCAAGCACCACACTCTTGCCCATGTCCATGAGTCCTTCCCTGAATTCCTCTACCTCTTCATCTTCCCCCTGTAAGCTGGCTTCTGTTCTCCGTCTGTGAGTCTGTCTCTGTTTTGCTTGTTATCTCAGTTTGTTCATTAGATTCCACATATGAGTGAAATTGTATGATTTGTGTCTTTCTCTGAGTTGCTCATTTCACTTAGCATAATGTTCTCCATACAGTGCAAAGGGTAAAATTTTCCTTCTTTGTTATGACCAAGTAGTATTCCATTATATAAATGTCCCATAGTTGTTTTATCCACTCACCTCTCTTTTTTTTTTTTATTTGGAAGGCAGGACTTTTTAAAAAATTATTTAATTATTGTTCAAGTACAGTTTTCTGGCTTTTACTCCCATCCTAGCCCACCCCCCCCAGTGCTCCCCACCTCCCATTTCTACCCCTGTTAGTTTTTGTCCATGTGTCCTTTATACCTGTTCCTGTGAATCCTTCCCCTTTTCCCCTGAAATTCCCTCCCCTCTCCCCTCTGGTCCCTGTCAGCCTGTTCTCTATTTCAGTGTCTTTGGTTTTATTTTGCTTGCTTGTTTGTTTTGTTGTTTAGGTTCCTGTTAAAGGTGAGATCATATGGTATTTGTCTTTCCCCACCTGGCTTATTTCACTCAGCATAATGCTTTCCAGTTCCATCCATGCTGTTGCAAAGGGTAGGAGCTCCTTCTTTCTTTCTGCTGCATAGAATTCTATTGTGTAAATGTACCATAGTTTTTGATCCATTCACTTGCTGATGGGCACCTAGGTTGCTTCCAACTCTTGCCTATTATAAATTGTGATGCTATGAACATTGGGGTGCATAGTTCTTTTGGATTGGTGTTTCAGGGTTCTTAGGATGTAATCCTAGCACTGGAATTGCTGGGTCAAAAGGCAGATCCATTTTCAGTGTTCTGACAAAATTCCATACTGTTTTCCATAGTGGTTGTAGCAGTCTGCAATCCCACACACGGTGAACTAGGGTCCCCTTTTCCCCACAAGCTCTCCAACACTTGTTTGTTGGTTTGTTTATGATGGCCATTTTGACTGGTGTAAAGTGGTATATCATTGTGGTTTTAATTTGCATCTCTCTGATAGCTAGCGATACTGAACATATTTGCATGTGTCTCTGGATATTCTGTATGTCCGTCTTGGAGAAGCATCTGTTCAAGTGCTTTGCCCACTTTTTAATAGGGTTGCTTGTCTTCTTAGAGTGGAATCATGTAAGTTCTTTGTATATTTTGGAGATCAAACCCTTGTCTGAGGTATCATTAGCAAATATGTTTTCCCTTATAGTTGGTTCTCTTTTTATTTTAATACTGTTTTCTTTAGCCATGCAGAAGCTTTTTATCTTGATGAGATCCCATTTGTTTATTTTTTCCTTTATGTCCCTTGCTCTAGGGGTCATATCAGTAAAAATGCTGCTGCGTGAAATGTCTGAGTTTTCCTGCCAATGTTCTCCTCTAGGACTTTAATGGTTTCACGGCTTGTATTTAAGTCTTTTATCCACCTTGAATTTATTTTGGTGTATGGTGTAAGTTTGTGCTCGAGTTTCATTTTTTTGCACATAGCTGTCCAGTTCTTCCAACACCATTTGTTGAAGAGGCTATTTTTACTCCATTTTATGTTACTGCCCCCTTTGTCAAATATTAATTGCCCATAGAGACTTGGGTTTATTTCTGGGCTCTCTGTTCTGTTCCATTGGTCTATGTGCCTATTTTTTATGCCAGCACCAACCTGTTTTGATTACAGGGACCTTGTAATACAGTTTGGTGTCAGGTATTGTGATCCCTCCTACTTTGTTCTTCTTTCTCAAAATTGCAGTTGCTATTCGGGATCATTTATGGTTCCATATAAATTTTTGGTTTGTTCTATGTCTGTGAAATATGTCATTGGTACTTTAACAGGTATTGCATTGAATCTGTAAATTGCTTTGGGTAATATGGACATTTTGATGATGTTAATTCTTCCAATCCATGAACATGGTATATGTTTCCATGTACCATGTACCAAGGAAGACATTTGTTTGTGTCTTCCTTGATTTCTTTCTTCAGTTTTGTGTAGTTTTCTGTATACAGGTCTTTTACCTCCTTGATTAGGTTTATTCCCAGATATTTTATTTTTCTTTTTGCTATGTCAAATAGGATTTTTTCTTGATTTCTGCTTCTGCTGTTTCATTGTTAGTATACAAAAATGCCTTTGATTTCTGGATATTGACTTTGTATCCCGCTGTTTTGCCAAATTCATTTATTAGGTCGGGCAGTTTTGGGGTAGAGTCTATAGGATTTTCCATGTACACTATCATGTCATCTGTAGACAATGACAGTTTTGTTTCCTCCTTTCCGATTTGGATGCCTTTTATTTCCTTTTCTTGTCTGATTGCTGTGGCTAAAACTTCCAATATTATATTGAATAGAAGTGGTGAAAGTGGACAACCTTGTCTTGTTCCTGATCTTAGTTATCCACTCATCTCTTGATGAACTCCTGGACTGCTTCCAAATGTTGGTGATTGTGAATAGTGCTGCAATGAACATAGAGGTGCTTATGTTCTTTCAAATTAGTGATTCAGGTTTCTTCTGATATATTTCCAGAAGTAGGATCACTTGGTCAAAAAGCAGATCCATTTTAAATTTTTTGAAGTATCTCCATACTGCTTTCCACTGTGGCTACACCAGGTTGCATTCCCACTAACAGTGCATGCAGAAAGGTTCTCCTTTCTCCACATTCTCACCAGCACTTGTTGTTTGTTGATTTATTGATGATAGCCATTCTGACAGGTGTGAAATGGTATCTCATTGTGGTTTTAAGGTTCATTTCTCTGATGAATAGTGACATTGAGCATCTTTTCATATGTCTATTGGCCATCTGAATGTCTTCTTTGGGGAAGTGTCTATTCAGGTCCTTTGCCCATTTCTTAATTGGGTTGTTCACTGTTTGGGGTATTGAGTTTTGTAAGTACTTCATAAATTTTGGATTTTGACCCCTTATCAGATGTATCAGTGAATATGATCCCCCATTCTGTAGGTTATCTTTTTATTTTGTTGTTGATTTCCTTTGCTGTGCCTGGGATAGTAACTCTTGAAATATTCTGGATTCCCATCTATCAGGCCTTGCCGGTTTCTCCACATCCTTTTAGACACAACACAACATGCAGATTTCTTGTATGTATTTAAGCACTTTGTCAAATAGCTTAGTTGTACTGCTAAATTGAGATGGAAGTAGATAAGGTCAAAATCTCTTTAATTATTCACCTAGTCCCTGTGCTGTCAGAGATGAGGAAAAAATCAGCCTGAGCCTCAGGCATTCCAGTATAAAAAAGACCAGAATGCTATGGAAGTGCTCTTCCAAAAAACTTATTTCTCCCTGGCTGGTGTAGCTCAGTGGATTGAGCACAGGCCTGTGAACCACATGATCACGGTTCAATTCCCAGTTAGGGCACATGCCTGGGTTGCAGGCCAGTTCCAAGCAGGGGACTCGCGAGAGGCAACCACACATTGATGTTTCTCTCCTTCTCTCCTTCCCTTCTTCTCTAAAAATAAATAAATAAAATCTTTAAAAAAACTTATTTCTACTGAATTCTCCTCAAAGACCATTTTGACACAGTGGTTCTCAAGACAGTCCAAACAAATTTTTTAAAAATACTATTAATAATAAGGCTCTCTGGTCTTCACCTCAAACGTACGAGAATCTTTGAAACTGGGGCTTAGAAATTTGCACTTTTGCAAACAACCCTTATGACCTGAGGTAAGTATTCTCCAAACCACATTTTGAGAATCTCCTATAAAAGACCTAGCATTTGAACCAGAAGAATGGATATAAATTGGACTTTTAAAAATGGAAAAAAATGGATGTTTACCCACTTGAAAAACTTAGAGGGGAAGGAGCAGGAATTTGGAACCAACCAGATCTGAATTGAAGGTTTGGCCTACCTTGAGCCTAAGACTGTCTGGTTCCATTTACTAGCTGTATGTGGCAACAGAGTTTGTCTTCTCTTTTGAGAATAACAATATTGGCCAAACAGAGTTACTGTGAGGAATAAATAAGATCAGGATGAAAAGCTCCAACCATAGCACCATGCACAAAGTAGGTTCCCAGTCGGTAGCTGTAGTTAAGTTGATGTAGTTAATATTATCATGTTTGTCTTCAAGGTCCAGCAAACAGGTCACCTTTCCATTATATCTTTTATTTTTACAACACTCATTGCACAGATCAAAAATAATCTCTCCTCCGAACTCTCTTCAAGACTACATCTGTTTGTCTCTCAAGGCACAGGACACTTTCTACTTAAAAATTTTTTTTTCTTATTAGACTGTAAGGTTCTTGAAATCAAGAACTATAGAATGATAGTACTCTCAGCACTTCTACCCAGAACACCCATCGCAGCAAAATGAACACAAATTAAACACTCGATGAGAATGAATTCTTTAGAAGGAAATCTGTTATCACTCTAATTTCAGAAAGAAAAAAAAAGGCCCAATTCTACTCTGGGATCTTCTGAGAACTTCATTATAGATGACCAGTAAATAATGACTGAATATTCAAATTCAAAGAAAGTCTCAGATACTTTTATGTGCATTACCTCATGAGATTTTGAAATACTCTTCATAGAGATTTGTATAATATAAAAATCAAGAGCATGGGCTAAGGTGTCAGACAACCTGGGTTCAAGTATTACCTGCACAACCTAACAATAATGTGACTTTAGTCAAGAGTCCTCTCTCATTTTCTTTTGTTCCTTCTTGATAAAATAAATCCTCAGTAGATTCTTTCAAGAAGAGTCCTTGAGGGGTAAACT